GTACGGGGGTGGGGCGGGAGAAGAAAGCAAAATGAGATGTGTGTTGGGAGAATCCTGGGGTAAGGGTGGAGGTAGGAGCAGGCCTCTGAGCTCCAAGGCCCTGAGACTCTGATTCTGAGGAGGGAGAATGACATGAAAGCACCTGCCACAGTAGATCTTGGTTCAGCTCTGCAGGGATTTCCACACATCCTCAGCCCTGTCTAGGTGGACTACATACTATCCTGCTGGAAGCAAGCTCTTCTACCAAGCATAACTTGAACACCCCAAGAATCAGAAAGAGACCTAGCAGCCCAGGAGACGCCCTGCACCAGCAGAGGCCTTCCTCCAAGTCTAGAGCTCATCGCACACAATTCCAAATGCCCACAGCAGACACAAAGAAGACAGAGGAAAAGGAGCCTCTGAAACAGACAGGAGCAGCTGCCAAAGGAAGCCTGAGGACAGCCAAGCAGGTAGCACAGGCCCGGTGCCTACAGCCCAGCCCCAGGGGTGTTTCGCAGTGTCCTTCAACCAGGGTAAGTAAGGCTGAAAAGGGGTGACTAGCACCCTCACCCCTGCTTCCCCAGCTCCCCAGAGGCACAGATTTTCAAGCTTCCAATTTTTATTTTATTTTTCAAATTAATCACATCTATAGTCAATCTTCAACAGCTAACAGTAGAGCAAAGCAAACAATGCCATTCCTGTTCTGCTTGTCTCCAAAGTCCCAACTGCCCTGCAACAAGGTCACTGCCATGTGCACCACCCACGTTGGTGAATGAACAGGATAGGAGGTGGGGGGCGGGGGAGGGGGCACAGGTTGCAAACAGGGAAATACACACAGTGGAGCTGGAGAGGAGACAACTGGGAGTCAAGGTGGCTGTGCTCTAATTATGTGAGCAAGTCTCCCACTGGGACCCTGAATGTGAATATATTCACATATATGGAGAATCTTAAAAGTTCCATCCAGTGCTCTGCATTTCTGGGATGCTTCAGGAAGCTGGGTCCGGGAGCCATCTATCTCTATTGTGGCCTCAGCAATGATTCTGCCTGTTGCCTCTTGCCCAGCTTAGCTTCCCAAGTGGACCCCTTTCCCAGAAATTAATCATTGGAGAGAGAGATTAGCAGCTCCCAGTCCGCCAATAATTTGGCCCCAGAGGCAGCTCCCAGACTTTTCCTCAGATTTCCTGGGAGGAGGCTGGGGGGAGGGGGTTACAGGGTGAAATTTATGGGAAGGAGAGGTGAGTGAGGTGGCCCCTGGGCCTTCCCCTCAATCAAATCTCTGCTCTTAGCACTAGTGCCCAATTCTCCCAGCAGGTAAACAAGCTCTTTGTTCAGCAACAGGCAGGCAGGTGGCCTCTGCTGACTCTACAGATGATAGCTCAGTCCTCTCTCAGAGAGGAAGGGATGAGGGCTCCAGGGCTTGTGAATGTACCACTCACTGGCCTACAGGTGGCACCGTGGGGCCCAGGGCCACAGACTCCATACTCCTCATGGCCACTTTTTTTTTTTTTTTAATTTCTAGATAAAATTCAAAGTAATGTTTAGTTGTGCAACCATCACTATGGTCTAATTCCAGTACATTTCCATCACACCACATAGAAACCCTCCCTATCCTCCCCTCCCTGCACCCGCACCCCCTCCACCTTCCCCATCCCTCTCCCTAGCCCTTGGCAGCCACTAATCTACTTTCTGTCTCTACTGATTTGCTTATTCTAGAAGTTTCACATAAACAAAATCACATAATAGGTGACCTTTTGGGTCAGGTTTCTTTCATTTAACATAATATTTTTGAGGTTTATCCATGTTTGTAGCAAGTATCAATACTTCATTCCTTTTTATGACTGAATAACATTCCATTGTATTAAAATATCACATTTTGTTTATCCATTCAGCAGTTGACGTTTGGGTTATTTCCACCTTTTTGCTATTACAAATAGTGCTGCCATTAACATCTATATACAAGTTTTTGTGGGAATATGTGTTTTCATTTCTCTTGGGTGTACATCTAGGAGCGTCACTGCTGGGTCACATGGTAAATCTATTTTTAACTTATTGAGAAACTGCCAAATTGTTTTCTACAGTGGCTGTACCATTTTACATTCCCATCAGCAGTGTATGAGGGTTCCAATTTCCCCACATACTTGCCAACACTTGTTATTTTCCATTTAAAAATTGTAGCCATTCTAGTGGGTGTGATATGGCAAGTCATTATAGCTTTGATTTGCATTTCCCTACTAAAGAATGACAACACTGAACATCTTTTCATACACCTATTGGCTATTTGTATATCTTCTTTGGAGAAAAGTCTGTTCAGTCCTTTGCCCACTTTTTAAAGTGAATTAATTGTTTTTTCTGTTCTTGAGCTCTGAGTTCTTTATATATTCTGAATACTAGATTTTTATCAGATAAATGATGTACAAATATTTTTTCCCATTCTGTGGGTAGTCTTTTCCCTTTATAATGTCCTTACATAAACAAAACTATTTTGATCGTTCACTTTGTTTCGCCCTGTAGGATTCAACCCAACTCAGCCAATTTTCTTACAGGGCCTAGTGAAATGTGCTTGGCATAGCACCAAATGTGGCTGAAGCTCCAAAAATAAATTGCCAGATGTGCCCTAAGGGAGCTCAGAGTTTACCAAGATAATACATGGAGTTGAGTTCCCCTCTGTATGCCTGTCCTTCAGGGCCAAATTGGCCATGCAGATTTGCATTAAATCAGGAGAATATCTGGGGTAGTCAGACTGCAGGATACAATTGTGTGGCTTATGTAAGGTTCCTTCTAGAGGTCTCCTGGAAGACACAGTCCCCTCCAAAGCAACTGGACAAAGGAGTAAAGAGAAGCCCTTTCAGAATGACTGCCCATCAGAAAAGACAGTCAAGTACTGAACAACAAATGGGTCAAAGAAGAAGTCAAAAAAAAAGAAATAAAAAACACCTTGAGACAAAGGAAACTAGAAGTACAACATACCAAAATTTATGGTATGTAGCAAAAGCAGTTTTAAGAGAGAAGTTCAACAAGCTCACAGGCTTACCTCAAGAAACAAGAAAAATCTCACACAACCTAACTTTACACCTCAAGGAACTAGAAAAAGAAGAACAAACAAAGTCTAAGGTTAGCAGAAGGAAGGAAATAATAAAGATCAGAGAAGAAATAAATGAAATAGAGACCAAAAAGACAACAGAAAAGATCAATGAAACTAAGAATTGTTTTTTGAAATGATAAACAAAATTGACAAATCTTTAGCTAGACTCAGCAAGAAAATAAGAGGACTCAAGTAAATAAAATCAGAAATAAAAGAGACGTTACAACTGATACCACAGAAATACAAAGGACCATAAGAGACTACTATGAACTATTTTATTATATGCCAACAAATTGATAATCTAGAAGAAATGGATAAATTCCTAGAAACATACTACCTACCCAAGACTGAATCATGAAGAAATAAAAAATGTGAACACATTGATTACTTGTAAGAAGATTGAATCAGTAATCAAAAACCTCCCAATAAACAAAAGTCCAGGATCAGATAACTTCACTGATAAAGTCTACCAGACTTTTAAAGAATAACACCAATCCTTCTCAAACTCTTCCAAAAGGGAACACTTCCAAACTAATTTTGAAGCATTATCCGGATACCAAAACCAAACAAGGATGCCACAAGAAAAGAAAATTACAAGCCAATATCCCTGATGAACACAGATGCAAAAATCCTTAACAAAATATTAGCAAACCAAATTCAACAATACATTAAAGAAAATGTGGTGTGTGTGTATGTGTGTGTACACACACATATACATATAATGGAAAATGATTCAGCCATAAAAAGAATGAATTTTGCCATTTGCAACAACGTGGATGGAAACTGAAGGTATTATGCTAAGTGAAATAAGTCTGAGAAGGACAAATATTGTATGATTTCACTTATATGTGGAACCTAAAAACAACAACAAGCTCACAGACACAGAGAACAGATTGGTGGTTGTCAGAGGCAGGAGGTGAGGAATGGGCACAATGGGTGAAGGGCTCAAAAGGTACAAACTTCCAGTTATAAAATAAATAAGTCCGGGGGATGTAATGCACAGCATAGTGACTAAAATTAATAAAACTGTACTGCATATTTGAATGTTACAAAGAGAATAAATTTTAAAAATTTTCATCAAAATTCTGGGTCAAATATGTGGTGACAGAAAGAAATCTAACTATGAGAAGTGAACACATAGTGTAAATATATATATATATATGCCTTACTGTTAAAGTGTACAGCTGAAACTTATTGGATTTTGTTAACCGATGTTACCATTAAAAAAATAAATTAATTAATTTAAAATAAATAAATAAACAGGAAAAAATTCTATACAATGTATGGTGACAAATGTTAACCAGACTTACTGTGGTGATCATTTCACAATATATACAAATATTGAATCGTTATATTGTACATCTGAAATTAATATAATGTTGTATGTCAATTATAGTTCAATAAAAAATAATTTAAAAAATCCAGTACATAAACCATGATCAAGTGGGATTTATCCCAGGGATGCAATTGATGTGACATACCACATTAACAAAATTAAGGATAAAATCATATAATCATCTCCATAGATTTAGAAAAAGCATTTGACAAAATTCAACATCCATTTATGATTAAAAACCTCAACAAAATGGGTATAGAGAGAATGTACCACAACATAATTTAGGCCACAAATCTACAGCTAATATCATACTCAATGGTGAAAAGTTGAAAGCTTTTCCTCTAAGATCAGGAACAAGACAAGGATGCCCACTCTCTTCACTTTTATTCAACATAGTATTGGAAACCCTAGCCAGGGCAATTAAGCAAGAAAAAGAAATAAAAGCCATCCAAATCAGAAAGGAAGAAATAAAACTCACTAATTGCAGATGACATTACATACAGAAAATCCTAAAGACTCCACAAAAAAACTGTTAGAATAAACAAATTCAG